ACTAATACTAATACTAATACTGATACTAATACTAATACTAATACTAAAACGAATACTAAAACGAATACGAATACGAATACGAATACTACTAATAATAACAATAGCAATAAAAATATTAGTATTAATAATAATAATAATAATATGGGGGAATGAGGACGAGGAGGACGGAACATAGCCGTGCGATCACCTATGCCAAGTCGCCAACGCCTGGCTCTGGGGTCCAGCCTCGCTCTCCCAAGCGCCGCTCCCAGTCGCTTGCTCAATCAGCTTCCACTTCGCTGCGCAGATGACGCGCGAGGCCACCACTGCGCTTCAACCTGCAGTCGTTGCCGTGCAGAAGCAGCAGAGGCAGGGGTCGCACAACCCGGGCCCTCGTTACCAAGAGCCAGAGGGCGCACGAGGGAAACGGGCCCCAGATGACCTGGCTCGGGGATGGAGTACGCCCTTTGTTCTGCCAAGGCGGCCCGAGTACGTCAGGACACCCCTCCCTCGGGACCCCTGCCACGGCCCCCGAAGTCGTGATTTGATCAACACTGGGCCCCCAGACCCTGGCTCGGGGATGGAGTACGCCTTTTGTTTCGCCGAAGCGGCCAAGTGCGTCAGGACACCCCTCCCTCGGGACCCCTGCCACGGCCTCTGAAGTCGTGATCTGTTCAAAACCAGGTCTCCTGAAGTCCCGACCCCCTCCCAGTGGCAGTTTTCATCATGGGCCGGCTCCTGACGGCCCCTGCGGGCCCAGAGACGGCTCGCAGGAACGCCACAGACGGCGCAGGACCTCCGCCCTGATCCCCAAAGACGCTGGATCGGCTCCACGCAGGAGTGGCCCTGGGCGAGAGTGACCTCCGGTGCGCGGCCTCGTGGAGGCCGCGGGGGAACCGAAGACGAGCGCGCAGACGCCACTATCGCATCTCTTTCAGCAGTCGGGGAGCACTGGCGAGCCCGCACCAGAGGCCACTCCCGCGAAGGGTCCCTCGCGCGCGTGAGTCGACCCGAGGAGGTGTGGCTCGGGACCCCCCTCTGGCCCACGGCAGCCTCAGCCGCCCCGGCCCAGCCGCGCGAGGAGCTCCAGGCTCTTCAGCGCCATCCGCGCCGTCTGCACCACCCGCCGCCTCTCCGGGGCGGGCGCCTCCGCCAGAGCCCGGGGGCGCTCGCCGGCGCGCAGCTCCTCCAGCGCCCGCCCGGCCAGCGGCCCCGCCAGCTCCAGGCCGCTGCCGAGGCCCGCCGGGTCGTCCCCCTCGGCGGCCGACTGCAGCAGGGCGAGGGCCCACTCCTGAGGGGGGCAGGACGCACCGGTGCCGCTGCTCCCCAAACCTCTCCCAGGGTGCGTTCGGAATCTCGAAGCGAATGCGGCCGCGGCGACGAGGGCCTCCGAGGAGGCCCCCGGAGTGGAAAACGAGAGAAGGGTAGCGGTAGCGGTATCCTTTTCCTGCCCCGAACTCCAGGTTGCCCTCGACGCGGGAGAAATCCGCGGTGTCGAGCACCGCCCTCTGCAGCAGCAGCGCCGCCGCGCGCAGCCTCGCGGTCGCGCCCAGCCCCGCCGCGGCCGGGCGCGCCAGGAGGTCCTCTGGGGCCTGCGGCTCGGTGCTGGCCGCGGGGGCCGCCTGGCGCAGCTGGTCGCAGACCAGCTCCAGCAGCGCGGCGTCCCCTGCCGAGGCGGGCCGCGCGGGGTCGCAGTCCCACGCGAGCGCACCCTCGAAGGCCTCCGCCAGCTGACCGGCCGCCGCCGCCGCCAGGGCCCTCGCGCGCTCGCTGGCCAGGGCCGCGTGGCGGCCAGCCCCGGCGGGCGCTGGCCCGCTCGAGGTGAGCGTCCTGTTGGCATCGCGCACGTCCTGCGCCATGGCGCGCAGGTCCGCCTGAAGGGGCGCCGCGGCCGCACGCAGCCTGCTGCACATGCCCTCGTAGAGGTGGCCATGCGCGGACTGTGGGCCGCGACGCGGCATCGCCTCCTGCCAGCGCTTGACCTCTCCCCTAACTGTCGCCGCCACCTCGCCAGAGCAGGTCCGCGAGAGCTTGGGCGCGCTCGAAAGGCCCCTGATCTGGTCCATGCTTCTCTCCAGCGCCTGCCGCGACTGCGCTCGCACCTCACTCATGGCGAGGTCCAAGGCCCCCCTTGCCTGAGCCAGCTCCCTGTCGCTGACGATGCCTTTTCGATTCGCCACGTCGGCGCACCACTGGCGGAGGTCGCCCGCGATCATGTCCTGCAGCGCCTCCAGAAGCTGCTGCTGCTTCGGCTGCAGCACCTCCATGAGGGGCGCCGTCTCCTGCGACGGAGCCCGGAGGCCCTCGGCGAGCTGATCCGCGAACGCCTTGCCCTCCACTGCCTTCAGCACCGCCTTCGGCAGCGCGACCTCGCGCCAGTGCGCCAGCTCCTTCGACACGGCCCTTTGAATCTGAGGCCCGCCCGCGCCCTGCCTGCTGGCCTCGAGCAGCGCGGCCGCGGCGCCCGCGTCGCTCCTGGCCACCTGCGCGACGAGCCCGCTCGCCTCGGCCAGTAGCTCCTCGAGGGCGCACGCCTCGCGCCGCGGCTCCTCCAGGGGCAAAGGGGCACACACATAAATGCACACACGAATCCCAGGTCTCCCATCTTTTCTCCTACTTTTTAGATTTTCATCGTCCCCTCCATTTCCCATACTTTCCCATACGTTCGGGGAGATCGACGATGAATTGTGTCTGTGTGTGTGTTTTTCCCCTCCTCAGCTCCTCCAGGCCGCCGCGGCCCTCCCGCGTCGGCAAGGCCTCCCCCCACTTCTCCGCGAACTCCCTCGCCAGCGCCTCGCTCGCGGCGCGGGCACGCTTCTGGAAGAGCGCGTGCAGCTGCTGGACCATCTCCCGCGTCACGGGGTCCGTGTCCGCCCTGCTCACGGAGACGTGAGACTCGGGCACTCCGAGGAGGAGGAGGAGGAGGAGGAGGAGGAGGAGGAGGAGGAGGAGGAGGTTTCTTCATAAGCGTCGGGGGAGCGTCACCCCCGCTGACAGCCCCACATCGACCACCGTCGCGGGCAGCCGCCGCGCGCCGAAGGCGCTCCGACCCCCGTCGCGGCGCGACGACGAGGCGAGGTTGACCCCCGTCGGGGGGGGGGGGCCCTCCCACGCTTGTTAGGAAACCCAGAGTGCGGGGGACTCGGGTTGGCCCGACGGGGCCATCGAGGACGTGACGAGACCCAATCCGAAAAGTGACGCGACCTCCTGCTGCAAGCCTCCCACGAGAACGGGACCCTCAAACGCCACGACTCGCTCGCCAACAAAAAACGTCGGCAAACCCGAGTTCCAGCTTGCTCGAGCTCCACGCTTCCCCTGCCTGCGCGCGTCGGCCCCTGGCTCGCACATCGCCGCCGCGTCCTCGCGCTGGCCGCCCTGCAGCGCCGCAGGCTCCGGCGGCGCGGCGCGCCGCGGGGCTGCGCTGGGCGCGGCGGCCGCTCCCTCGGCGCCGCCGCCGCGCGCCGGCGCAACAGTCCCCGGCACGGGCGGCGCGCCCTCGGCCGCCTCCTGCGCCGCCGCCTCCAGGCCCGGCGGCGGAGGCAGCAGCTCCGCCTCGAAGGCCGCCACGAGCGCCGCCTCCGCCCGCCTCCCGCGGGGCGACGTCGCCATGCTGACCACGGCGCCCACGGGCTCCGGGTGTGCGAGCGTCCCAATGGGACGGTCGCCCCCAGCCTGCGCTACAGCCTCGACCTCGGCCCCGCTCGCAGGCACGCGTTCCGTTCGCAGCGCCGCCCTCTCGGGGGGGGGATCCAGGGGCATCACTGCGCGGATGGTCAGCAGCTCGGTCCTCGGGATGCAATGGTCCGATGCCGACTCCACATCGCCGTCTGCGGCGACCGCCGCCTCATCGCCCTCGTCCTGGGGAGCAGGAAAAATAACCGCCTGCCACCGTGCCTACAGCATGTCGTGGAGTGCTCCCACATGTGTGGGCATTGCCCAAACAGTGATTGCACTTAGAGTTTTTTGCTACGGTCTTGCTTGGCGACGCGCGCGCGCAGAGCGAGCGGTCAAGCGCCTCGGCGGCGCCGTGCCCAGCTCAGGCGCGCGCACCTAACCAGAAGTCTCTACTCCGGTCACCCAAGGAGTCGGGTGGGACTGCCGAGGTTTCGCCACGCTGCCGCCCGTGGGCGCCTCGTGGGTGCGCCGAGGTTTCGCCACGCTGCCGCCCGTGGGCGCCGTGTGCGTGTGTTCCGTGCGCTGCGTGGGCTTCGTAAGGCTTCGCCTGGGGGGGCGGCTGGTGCCGCCCGTGGGCGCCTCGTGGGCGCCTCGTGGACGCCTCGTGGGTGCTCCATGCGCTGCGTGGGCTTCGCCACAGCTCGCCCGGGTACCCATCGGTGCCCGCCCATGGGCGTCTCGTGGGCAACCCGTGCGCTGGCTGTGGTCTGTCGAGGATGTGCCTGGTGCCAGGTGGGTGACCGGTCGTGGGCGCCTCGTGGGCGCACGTGGCTTGTACCACATAGCTTGCACCACAGTGCGTCGTAGCCTACACCACATCGAATGCACCACAGAGCTTGCACCACGCCGCACTGCAGTGACTCGCTGCGTGGGGTCCATGCTGGCAGGCATTCGAGTGTTTGGAGGCCTGTTGGGCCCTCTCGGAGGGCTGCGCGTCAGTCCAGGAGGCCCAAAGCAATGAGCAACTTGAGATCCGAAGGCGATTTGCTCACGCTCGGCTTTGTGGTCATCAGGGTGCCCAAGACTGGCCAGGAGGCCTGCCCAAGAGAGCCTCCGAAGCCCCCGGGTCCCAGGAGGCGCCCAGAAGGGCCCAAGAGGGAGACGTCGAACTGTCACTTAGAGCCCTCCACCACCATGTCACCCACGAGACAATCAAGAGGCCCACAAGATACCCCCAGAAGCCCCCGAAGGCCCCCGACAGGGCCTCCTGGAGGGCCCCAAGAGTCTCCCAAGAAGCCCTCAAGAGGCCTTCAACAGACCACCCTGAGGCTACAAGAAGCCTTTTGCCAACCACCCACGAACGGTGGCGGGATGGACCGAAGGCAGTTCGACCTATTTGGCACGGGAACGAAGAGCGCTCGTACTCTGCGAGGGCGCGAGATCGCTTGCTCAGTGTCTTCGAGCCCTCTTGAGGTCAAGACTTGGGCACGTCATTCAAGCAATAACAGCCAACCTCTGCGAACATCCAGGAATGTGGTCCCTCCGGGCCTTTTGGTGGGGCCTTTTTGGGGCTCCTTTAGGCTGTCTTGGGGCCTTCTGGGGTCGTCCTGAGGACCTCTTGGGCCGTCTTGGGGGGCTTGGGCCGTCGTGGGACCCTCTCGGGGCCCTGCGGGGCTCTCTTGGGGACCTTTTGGGGCCCTCGGGGGCCCCTCTTGGGCAGTCTTGCCCCCTTTGGCCGTCTTGGACGTCTTGGAGCCTTCTTGGGACCTTCTTGGGGCCGTCTTAGAGCCTCGTGTGCCATCTTGGGGCGATCCTGGGGGCCTCTTGGGCCGTCGTGAATGCTGCGGAGACCGAAGAAGCAGATATGCTCAAAATGTTCGCTTCTCCATGGGAATGGGACGATTGTTGTCTCTTGGGCGTCCTTTTGAAGGCTTCGTGGGGAGTAACTATTGAGGGCCTCTCTGGCCGTCTTGAGGCAATCTTGGGCCCTCTTTGAACGCTCTGGGGCCGTCTTGGGGCATTCTTGCTCCTTGGGCCTCCCTGAGGCCAGCTTGGGCGCACTTAGGGCTGTCTTGGGCCGTCTGGGGGCCCTCTGAGGCGCCCGTGGGGCTGACTTGAGCGGTCTAAGGCCGAACATGACCGACAATTGTGCGATTAGATCAGGGCCTAGCACACTCCCCCTAGGTAATTCTCCCAGCTTGCGGAACGCGACGCCACGCGCGCCTTACGTCATCCGACGCGGACTCCCCTATATGTGCATCTCTCTATCCCAACGCCTTCCTTCAAGCGTTCCCGAGTACGAGCAAGGGTGAGTGTGAGAGAGACTTGGCAAGATCCGTTCAATACAAGTACGGGGGAGGGGTACAACTGCGTGCGAGAAGGAGTTAACCCAAATACGAGTGGGTCTTAATACGCCTGATCCTTTGCACGTCTGGACTCGAATATGATTGAGTCTGAGCGTGATTCAATCGGAATATGATTCAACCGGAATATTTTACCACACTCTGTGTAGGGAGCGGCCCATGAAAGGGGAAGCCGAGCTGCCATGTCGACTCCTCCCCCAACAGATGGCCCCCGAGACCGCCAGCAGGCTCCCAAGAGGCCCTCAGAGGCCGAAAACACTCCCCGAAGAAACCTCCAAGAAACCCCAAGAGGTCCCCAAATGCCGCCAAGAGGACTCCAAAAGGCATGCCAAGAGACCCCAAGACGCCTCCCAAAGAGGCGTCTTGTTCATGACACACACACACACACATCACATTGGCACTCAGAGCGCCCCAACAAACAATCTAGCCTCCTCCTCCTCGTCCTCCTCTTTCTCGCTCAACACGAGCACGCCAGCAGATCGCCAGTAGTCAACTGTAGGCCGGCGATGGCATCAAACAATTCAAGCCAAAATATGTCCTCCATCTTTCGCACGCACCTCAGCCAGCTTGTTGTTGTTATCTCTCCTTCTCGCTCTCTATCTCCTTCTCTCTCTTCAGTTTCCCTCTCTAATTACTTTGACTATGTCATCTGCCCCTCAGCTCGCTCCGCACCGTGTTCGTCAGTCTCGACCCTTTTGGTACTATTTGTCATTCTATATATATATGTACATACCCGTCACCGTCCCTTCGGGCATGCGTTGGAGTGTCCCCAACTCCCTTGCTCAATTCATGGAGCACCCGTCCCCAATTCTGAAAGTTCATCGATGAGCCCAAACCCCAAATTGCTGGACACTCTTGGGCGTGGCGAGCATTATCTCGTGACTTGTTCGAAACCAAGTTATCTTCAAGACGAGCCACGAGGTTCCCGGGACGCCACCCAAACGGTCCAAGGGTTCCTCGAATTGCCACACGATCGGTCCAAGACGCGGAAGGTGGCTCCAAAATGACCAAAATAAGCCTTCGAGGCGCCCCAAGAGAGCCCAAAGAGCCTTCCCAAGAGGGCCCCGAGAAGCCAAAATAGTTTGAAAGGGGTTGGGAGGCCCAACCAGCAGCTTCGCTTTAGGCGAAGCCAAGCTCCAGCTCTGTTGTACCGTAATAACGATCGTCCCAGTAGTAGGAGTCGAGCCATCTCAAGCAATTTTGGTATCGATGGCAAATAATACACCTCGCACTGAGGTGTAGTCAGGTCTGGGCGGCCGGCCGCTTGAGCCCAAACGGCCGCGGACACACGCTCGTTACCTCTCGCCTGTATCCCAGATCGCTCTAGAGTCGGGGGGGGGAGGGAGACGAAGCGTGAGCCCGCCGCTTCTATACAGCAGGTACAGCAGCTAATATGTACAAAAGGGGCAGCAAAAGGGCGGGGCCATAAGGAAGGTGGACCCGCGCGCAAGTTGCCTTGCCTGCACCTTACTGTGCATACGAATACTCCTCCGGCGGCTGCAGACCGAGATGTCTGGCCAGCCCGATAAGGAGCATGACGTTTTAAGTCATGTTTGAAGGATTGCGTACCTCCCATGACCAGTAGGAGCATTTCTCTGTCGATGCTCCCCTCGGTGTGACCGTCCGCGGTCATATCGCGGGTGTCACACCATTGAATACTGTGCACGATTCCCCGTTCCATCATCTGTCGTATCCAGCTGGTGTGTCCTAAAAGGGTACACTCAGCCGGCTTCTTCAAGTCTTTGCTTGACAAGGACTCAAAACAGACTCAGCATCCATGGCCAAAGTGACCTTGATGCTCAGGCCACCCAACTCAAGTATGCCTTTCAATTGAGTAAGGGTTAGCGGCCCTGCGTGGAGCTCGTGCAGAGTCACGATCGTGGGATAGCAGTCCTCCAAGTTGCGGGCTGCTGCTAGTGTCTCTGCTGGATAGCTCGAGCGGACCTGCAAGCGGTGGAACTTGCAGTACGCATCGATCAAGTGAACGACAAGCTTGCCGGATGGCGTGCTTCCACGCCGTAGCATGTTTGCCCCGCGAATACCATAGCCTGTGACTTCGTCATCGGCATCTCCACTCAAGCGTCGATAACCTGGGTCGCTGTGCAGGTCAACTTCGCCCGTGGGGGCCATCGCTTGGTAGACGATCTTCTTACGGCAGACCTGCAGTTTCCTGGTAATCGCGTTCAGTCGTCGCACTTGTAAGTTGGCCGGTTCTTGAACGCGTTGTAGAGAGACAGCATATACCATCAACCACACCTGGGCGATGAATGCATGCGCCAATTCGCCCCTGAGGCTGACGAACTGGTCCAACGTAACACTGCCGTCCTCATCCTTGGTATATCTCACAGCACAGTGGGTGCATGTGTGCTCGTTCAGTTGACACTTACCATAGGTGTCTTCTACGCACTTGACGTGCTTGTCAATGGCGTCCTTTGTGCCAGCCATATTGATGTCATCGACGTGTTTGGCCGTGAGCAGGTCGCTGCTCGTCTCGAACTCCTCGTCGTAGGACGTGGGTCTGAGACCGAAACCTCTCGTGGTCCTTCTGAACATTAGTGAGAAAGCTCGAGGTGCGTACTTGGTGCCAGTGCCTGGCTCGAGGCACTGCAAGCAGTGCTTCGACTCGTCGTTGTGCTCGAAGCCTGGGGGAGTTCGCAGCGCCGTAGCCGATCCAGGCGGCAGAGTAAAGCACGCCACGCGTTCCTTCTCACCAGTTGCCTCAGCAAGTTCCTGGCAGGCCAACCCTTTCAGGAATGCCATGCTGATGTCGAGGGAAGCAATGACACATTGCTTCTTGCACGCTGCCGCGCTCGCGAGTAGTCCCTGGCTCGACCGCCGCGCCGTTCCTGAGAAGGCTTCCACGTCGAAGGCTTCGAGGCC